AGAGAGAGAAAGGAGAGAGAGTAGAGAGAGAGCAGGAGAGAGAGAGAGGCAGAGAGAGCACGAGAGAGCGCGAGAGAGAGAGAGAGAGAGAGAGAGAGAGAGATAAGAAGAGAGAGAGAGAGATAAGGAGAGAGAGAGAGAGAGAAAGAAAGAGTGTGTGTGTGTGTGTGTGAGAGAGAGAGAGATAGAGAAAGATTTTTTTATTTACAAACATCCTAAAAATTTCATTATAAGAAAACTAATTAATTTATCCAAAACAAGCAAATTTTAAGGTTAAAATTTTTTGAGTATATGGGGTAAAATCATTGGCAAAATATCCCAATCTTATGTTGTGGGATTCAGCAGTAAATGAAGCATGCACTCGATCAAAATATTTCCACGATCCAGCATCTGATGGATGAGAAAAAATATCACTTTTTGCCAATTTTTCCTTATGCCATCTCATATGACCTACTGAACTCATTGATGCATAGAGTCGTTGAAGTTTTGGAATGATCGATAAATAAAATAAACGGGAATATATAATATCTTTCTTTTGACGACATTGTTTTCTCAAGTATGGCTTAAACCGAGGAGCATTACAGGTGCGACAATAAACTTCTGTTGCATCATCCTTGTAGTATAACATGCATGCATTGATACAATAATCAATTTTTGTAGCAGTGAGACCCAACTTGGATACTAATTTCTTTGTTCGGTACAAATCTGAGGGAATTAAATTATATGTTCGATTAGTTTCCTTGAGAAGACTAATAAAGTCATTGAAACAATCACGATGAATATTATACTCAATTTTAATACTTAGCATTCTCACTGCAATGGATAATTCTGAATGAGTACTGCAACCGCCCTAAATTAGTTTTTGAGCTGCATGTAGTAACTCAAAGAATTTTTGGGTTTTTGCATTTGGTGGCTCTTCCACACTAGCCCTTAAATTAGGACCTGCTACATCAAAAATAAGTTTTTCATACGGTCTACTCATTTGATCTTCATCAAATGTTTCATAAGCTGTGGATGAACCGGCATGAGCATCTCTGTGTGGCTCGTACTCGCCATTTAATGTGACAAAACCATGTAAAGCGACTCTCTCTAATCTTATCTTCCACTGGAGCTACTCCAACCTTATCATGTATATGCTCACTTCATATCCTATCTCTAAGGGTCAAGCCACTCATCCAGCCAAGCAAAAATAAGTTCAAAATTTTATGGTGTCGAATGTTTGACATTAAAAGAGAAGGATAATTTTCCTAACCGGGTTGGACATTAAAAGAGAAGCAAAATTTTATGGTGTCGAATGTTGGACATTAAAAGAGAAGCATAATTTTCAAAATTTTCCTAACCGGGTCATCTGAAGGCTGTCGTTTTATGTGACCAAATCATCTAAGGTGACACTCTCTAATCTCATCATCCACTTGAGGTACTCCAACTTTTGCATGTATATGCTCATTCCGTAGTCTGTCTCTAGGGGTAAAGCCACTCATCCACCTAAGCACCCTCATCTCTGCAACACTTAACTTAGTATTATGCTTTTCTTTTATTGACCAAGATTAGGCACCATAAAGCATTGCAGATCTCACCACCATCTTATAGAATTTTTCTTAAAGTTTGAGGGGGACTTTTCTATCACACAACAAGCCCGATTCATTCCTCCATTTCAACCATCCAACTTGAATTGTGCTGATAATATCCCCTTCTATTTCACCATCACTCTAAACAAAAGATCCAATATATCTAAAACGTGTACTTTGATCGCCCAAAGTCACAAACCCCTCATTAGGTCAATTGCTACTAAAATTATACTCCATATATTCAGTTTTAGATCTACTCAAGGGAAAACCTTTAGACTCTATAGTTGACTTCCATAATTCGAGCTTATCTTCAACTCCCTCTCTAGTCTTATCAACATGTAGAATATCATCAACAAAAACATACAACTACGTACATCCTCTCGCAAATGTCTACTTAGAAAATCCATAACTAAAGCAAAAAGATATTGGCTACATCCTCTCGCAAATGTATAGTGAGAACATCCATTACTAAAGCAAAAAGATATTGACTTAAGACTGATCCTTGATGTAATCTAACCCAAATCACAAACATCAACAAGTAAAATATCATCAACAAAAAGCATACAACAAGGTACAACCTCTTGCAAATGTGTAGTGAGAAAATCCATGTCTAAAGCAAAAAGATATGGGCTCAGATCTGTTCCTTGATGTAATCCAACCGGAACAACAAAAAACTTCTTCAAAAAATTAAAAATGCAAACCTCGACCGGAGGAAGGCGTCACGCACGGGAGCAGTGTAGTGGGGAGCTCATCGACGACCAGAGGGACCTTGTCGGTGGCCGGAGGGACCTCGTCAGCATCCTAAATAGTCTCGATCGTGAGAGGGCGGGCGAGGGAGGGAGCGAGCGCAGCGCAGGAGAGAGAGCGAGGGATATGGAATGAAATGGGAGGCTCGAGATGGTTAATTTTAGGTCTTCTTCTGGCGGCCCAAACCGCCGGTACCAAAATCACTTAACACCGGTGGTTCTAGCCGCCGATAACGTGCCGGTAAGTTTAAATACCGGCCATTTAACTGGCGATTTCTGGACCACCGTTATTGCCGGCGGCTTATGCTTGCATAACAGGCGGTTAAGCCGTCGGTAATAACCGGCGGTCAGACCGCCGGTTAAGCCGCTGTTAAAACCGGCGGCGGGATAACCGTCGGTCCAGACCGCCGGTAATCAATGAATTTCCTGTAGTATGAGCATTGTTTATATATAATTAAGTAAAAAAATGATTAAAATATAATTTAAAATGAAGCAAAAGCATAAAATAAATTCTTTCACTTTGGACACAAAACTAATTTACATATTCGATGAAAATGCTAACTGTGATTTAATTTGGGATAGTTTTCTTGATGTAACAAAAAATTAATGACAAAAAATTATCTCAAACAAAGCCTATATTTGTCACTTATAACTATGAGCTAGTTAATGGGATATACATGCATAAATATTATAATTTATTAATTCAAAATATTTAGCACTTTGTAATTATAAACAGTCCATTCAACTAATGCATATCTTAACAGTTAAAATTTAAATTTACTGTTTCGCCGTGTTAATATGAGCTAAGCAATCAAATTGGCCATAATCGGTCACTATAATTCTATAATATAATTAATTTTCTATGCATACAATGATAATAAAAGCCAATTAAGACGCAGATATATTTAAAAAAAAAAATCTTTGAATTTCTAGATGGAATAGTCCTTAATTAGCTTTCTCATTGAGCCTAACAATGAATATATAAATATATTATTTCTATAAAATATTTTTATTTATTTTAAATGATTATAATAATTAAAACTAATTAATTTTTATTTCACTTATTTAAAAATAAATTTTAAATTTTAGATGAGCTTTAAATTAAATGTACAAAAAGGATACATGTAGTCAACCCCACGTAGTGGGAGGCTTGATGTTATTGTTGTTGTTGTATATGAGTTTTAAATTTGATATGAGTTTTAAATCTGCTTAGTTTATTTGAAATGTGTATAGTAATAAAAATTAATATTTCATTGAGCACATCTCATGAAAATGTCAATAATATTTCATAAATAGCACAATATTAGGAACAATTATTAGGTCCTCCGACCGGACGTAGAGGAACGTTCGGTCGGCACTAAAATCCCGCCAAAAAATTTGATATTTGCTCGGTATTGCTAGTTATTATTTGGTAATAAAGAGGAATACAGCTCTGTAAAGACCAATACCGAGTTATACCGAGCTATACCGAGCAATACCGAGTTATACAAAAAATACCGAGTTTTTTTCTAGGAAAAACTCGGTTTTTTTTTGTATAACTCGGTATTGCTCGGTATAGCTCGGTATAACTCGGTATTGGGTCTTCACATGATGGTATTCCTCGTTATTGTTTGGTATTGCTGGGTATTTGTTCGATATTTCTCATTTTTTGGCGCGTTTTTAGCTCCGACCGACGTAGTTCTACGTCCGGTCAGAGAACCTAATAATTTTATATAGTCAAATCGAATATCTAAACGAGACAAAATTAATTAATTTTTATTGTATTAGTTGTAAATTTATTTTTAGATAAGTGCAATGAAAATTGATTAATTTTAATTACTATACTCATCTAAAACAAATTTAAAATATTTTATAAAAATAATCTTTATAAATTCAATATTAGGATCAATGAGCATACTAAGGACTGCTCCATTTAAAAATTTAAACGAAAATGCTTTTCATCTCTGCCTCTTAATTGACTTTTATTATCACTGTGAGTATGACAATTAAATTTTATTTCAAGAATTGAGAAAATTTCATAAGTGATTACTTAGTTCATATTAACATGGTGAAACAGTAAATTTAAATTATAATTGTTAAGATTTACAATAGTTGAATGTTGCTTACAAGGACAAAGTACAAAATTTTTTGTATTATTAAAATTATAATATTTATGCATTTATATCCCATTATCTAAACACCCTTTAGTTAAAATGCAGTTAAACACAAATAATTAATACAAAATTTTTTGAAATCCAAATTTTTGTATTAAAAAAACATTTTAAAAAATAATGATAAAACTATCTTAAACAAAACTTTTTTTTTTCTTAATTATATATTAGTGCTCCTTAAAAAATAAGAATTAATATTATGGTGTTTGCCTTAGTAGAATGGTATGTTACAACTTACAAGAGAATGCCGTACCCCTGAATAATCATAAAAACCAATTCTACTGGTTAATCATTTTTCTTAAATAGCTATCTTTAAATTATTTATAATAACAGTAACATTCAATTATAACAAAATGGAACTAAACTCATTTTAAACATGATACAATAATTTAAAAATATGATCATTCAGTTAAAATCTAGCATTATAAACTTGACAACTTACATATAAATTAATTACCACATATTTCTTGTCTTACCACTTATCCGATATCAACTATAAATATGAAATAAACAGCACTGCTGCGACAAAACATCAGAAAAAAAAAAGTTCAATAAAATCTTGGTTATCAAGCCTAAAAAGTTATAACAACTTGTACTGAGTGAATTTGAATAATAATTCACCAAAACGAAAGTTCCCCCCACGTCGCTTAGCTTTTGCAACAGAGACGAAATCGTCTTCCCTACCAAAAACTAGAAGTCAAGCACCCACCCGATCTCCAAACGGGGCTAGAGAGTGGACTGTGCAAAATTTCATAAAAAACTTTATCCACCTCCTAAACCAAGAAAAGGAATAAAAAGATCTAACTAAACTCAGTATGCACGATATTCGAGGAATTGAAGCAGCTTGTGTATTAGGGCCTCCCTTGTACCATACAAGGGCTTTCCAAGAGCAACCCAATTCTTCTCCAAACCTGAGCTCTTAGCAGCAGCTTGCATTTCAGCATGGAAGACAGAGACTATCTGATAGATTGATGTTCTAAGAATGTCAGCCATGGAATAAGCTTTGGCATGAAGGAGACCACCTCTCTTCTTTATTGTGACTACATTAGCCCCATCATGTCTTGCTGTTTTTAGTGTAACCCATCCGATGCTTGAAGGGCCCATTAAGTGTGCTGCTTGTGAACTTGTCTTCTTCCCCATGCAAGCCTCCACTGCTAGCAGGGTAGAGAGCAGTGTTGATAACACTGCAATATTTAAGCCAGTCAGCTGAGCAACACCATATCTATCTTCTAAGTAAGAGCGTGAAGTTAATGCGGCTATGGTCCGAGCACTCCAAGAATATAGCTGTGCAAAGGATGAAAGAATATCAACGTTTAACCACAATCTTAGAATTATCATTGGCGCCTAAAAATGATCTTAGAAATAAAGAATGGGAGAGGAGCTCAAAATTAAAAAATAACGAAGTTGACATACACAAACCATCTTGTTTTACACAAGTAAGAAGTTAAAATATAGACGGAATAGGACTGGTTAATTTCAAATAAAAATAATCTCAAATGTTCGCAAGGCATCACAAGTATAAGAAAGCTAAAGTTGTTCCACTTCACCTAAGTCGATGAATAAAAGCAACTGTCTCAGTTTGCCTTTCTAAGGTATTGTTATTTTAGCATACGGATGAGCATGCATGTTTTATCGTGGAGGCTGTGGATTGGGTGGACATGTGATTTGTGTGATTTGGGATTTCTTTTGTATTAAATTAGTATTGTGTTAAATTAATTTTAAAAAAATCAAGAGTTAAAATGCATTAAACATCGAGACGTTAATCAAACAAGATAATTACTCATAAAAATCTATTTCTCCTAATAATAGTGTTTTGAAGCGACAAGCACTTACAATGAATATATGCACTTAGTTGTCAGATGTAGATGGTAGAGAGATCACACCGTTCACACAAATGAGATACTAGCGATATGATCTGTAGACAATGACCAACTTCGCATAGTACAAGCAAACTTGATGAATACTTCACTAATCAACATGATACAGAATGGACCAGAATTCATGATGACAATCCACAATAAGGCAAAAAAATTGTCTATTAAAAGAAATTAATCTAGTAGTTGTCCAGTGCATTGAGCATTGCTCAGTAAACTTCCGGCTTAAATCTCCTGTATTATTGCTGAAGGCCGAACTTGCTATAAAGAGAAAACATTACTTGAATTTTTTAGAAGATAGTGATATAAAAATGCAGGTTCACACAAAGGGAAGACATGGGCACTTGACGAGCATAGTAAGAGCTACTTCAAATCAGCCAGTGAGCGGAGTTCGAGCTTATTCAAATAAGTTGACGTTCGCAACACTTTGCCAAACCAAAACTAGACAAATCAGCAGCTATTGACCACAAAAAAGTTATTCAAATCAAGCTAAGTCATCATAGCCAACTAAACATATTAAATATGTTAAAATTGGGTTACCATGTAGCTTTTTAATTCCCAAACTCAGGCCGTGAGAAAAAATATGGATTAAGCAAATTTGAAGTTTTGGTTCAAAATCTTTAATATTAATCAAGATGTACGTCAAACCAGCTAATAAACTGATGTAGAAGGAAATCAGCCATGGATGAGGTTCAGCTTTCATTTCTCCAGCTTTATTTTACTTGTATTATCCCTTCATTCAATTTTCAATTTTCAATTTTCAATTGAACGAGGTTTCTGGATCTAGGAAACAACACCTCCATACTGTAGCAGGTACTAGGTATTGTAGCATGGCAGGGGTTTTGATACTGTATCAACTATACAAGTTCGGGTATTGTGGAACTTGGTGGTGGAGGGGAATTATAAGGGGGGCGAGACAGGAATCACATTTCACGTGAAAGAAAAATCCGGAGGAGAGTGGATAAGTATAGTGAGATAGAAATCTTTCAAAAATTTTTCATTATTCAATAATAATCCAAATAACACCCATCTAACTCCTATTTACAGAAATAGGATAGAAGATAACATATAACAAAATTAATTTGAACTTAAAACCGATTCAATCAATGATAACTCCTAAAAATCCTATGCTTTTATCTAAAATAAAGATAATACTAAAAATGAAATAAAATAAAACTGAAATAAACCCTAATATAATCCAAAATAATAGAAATTTGTGGAACTAATCAAGAATTATTGTTTCTCCATGTCTTCTATTGCATCACTGTGGGCTCCGAAAATTCGGCCTCGGCCTCCGCCCGCACTGCTGTGTTGCTTTTTTCTTTGGCAAGGGAGTTTTAACGGATTTAAGTTTCGGGGTAAATTTTGGAAGGCAGATGGGTTTGTAGATAAGACACTACCCAGAGATTTCGCCCTCATTTTTGCGAGAACTTTATGATCTGAGTTCTGGTTTCCTATAGGCACAAGACCCTATAATTAATTACCCCTCCCGATAACGAGAGAGAACTTTCGATTAAGGCTAGTCGTCGGTCAGATACGTTATACCCATAGATACGTAGTATCAGGCATATAGTAGCAGCAATAGACATTGGTATTTGAAAATGTTGGATTTGAAACTTGGTTGGAAGTTGGAAATTTGGGAAATTTGAATATTTTGGATGTTTGGAAATTTGCGTTGAAAGAGTTTGATATTTAAAATTGAAAATTTCACCATCTAGCACAAAGCGGATGGTGGGGGAATGGATGATGGACCCGATCAAGATCCCATGGTTCCGTCGTCCCGGGCCATCGTGGTCCCTGGTCTACTTAGTCAGAGGAGGTAGTCGACCCAACTTGATAGAAGGATCCTTGTCGGAAGCCATAGGTTGCTTCGTCCAAGGGTACCTTGTAGACCTGAGGTGAATATTTGCCTAAGGGGACAAATTTAAAACCACCTTAGCTTACAAAGGGCTTTGTGCCCTATCAATCATATCATATTGATTCATATCTCAAGGATTTGATGCCAATAAGGAGCGTATCGGCGCTGGCCATAACAGGTATTTCGTGGAGCCATTTGGTGGCAAAATCACTGGGTTCAGAGGGCCCCGGGTCATAACTGTTTATCGTGCGGTGCCATTTGGCAGCAAAACAGCCGGTCAGAGGACACGTACCATGTCCTTACTGAAAGGAGATTATTTGAAAATGGATCATAGTGATATTTTCGACTAGGTATTTGGCTTTTTGTGAGTTGAAGTAGTCTTAATTTTGTCCACCCCGGCAAACTGTTGCGGATGGTGGATGTATTTTGCTGTAAGTGATTGATGATTGGATTTCAATTTTAAATATCTAAATTTTGAGATTTTCTGGAGTTTTGGATTTTTATGGGTATTTAGACTTTGTGGAGTTTTGGATGTTTGGAATATTTGGGTGGAGCTTGAAAATATCTATGAACCCCTCCGGTTGAGATAAACATTCAACACGGCCATCATCCGGGTGTCGGGTCATTCATTGATTAAACCTTGTCAACCCTATCAATCTACCGATAGGGAATCGGGTTTCGTAGGCTTTGTGCCTTTGATAGTGAATTATCATTGTTATAGGCCTTGAAGGCCTAATATGAATGTATTAAGATAAATATAACGGTCGCCACAACCGTATATTTGTTTGATGGTTCGAACCCTATCGACTCCTATGAATCCGTATAGGAGAATCAGGTTCGAACTAGAATTCACTTTTTGACCCGCGCAGCATCCCTAGATGTCACGTTTGTACCAATAACATGCTCACCGGGGCCCATGCGAGTGTTTGGGTGGCATTTTATAATTATACCCTGTCAACTCTCTTTTATCTGCTTAAAAGGATCGGGTTCAAATTTAATAACCCGCGCAGCATCCCTAAACGTTATGTGTGTACCAATAACACGCTCGTCGGGGCCCATGCGGATTTTATAATTGCTTTTACCACTTTTAGTATACTTATGTGTATACAAACTGCGGTGCACGTGTGGGGGTACTGTGAAAGTACTTGTAGTCGCCTTCTGTCCACTTGCATAGAAGTTATGGATCCAGTGGCATGGAGTAGCAACTTCTAAATAGACTTGTTCGCTGCTTTGTACAGGTAGACTGTCGTGCACTACTTGCATGATTTATGCAGGTAGATTGTAATGCACAAACTAATTTCCTGCTTTATCAAAAAGGTCTGCATTTGTTGTAGTATAATAACCCTTTGCTCTTAACAGATTAATGTAGTTACTTAATATTGACCAGTGATGGACCGTTAAGGTGATTTAGCATTCATTGGATCTCCCTCATCACCATTCATGCATAGTTTGATGTATATATTTGTATTCACAAGTGACCTTCATATCTGGTATGACATCTTTCAGCATTTGTTGAGAATAGAGTTATTGCTTATGCTTTGAGTTCATTCCACTGCTCACAAAATTGAATATACATGTTTATGTTATAGTGTTGCTAATGACATAAGCATCTGACATTTATTGCATATCTTTCATTCAATCTTTGGTCATTGCTTGGATACCACCTCATTTGAATAGCTTGAGATATCTCGACTCTATTATTTTTGTTTGCATAACCTTTGAGAGCTTGTTCTTCATTTGTCTTACATTTTTTGTTCATATGCTTACCTTCATTTGGATGATCAGGATAAATGCTATGGGTCAATCATCATCTGGTTTGTGATGTGAATGATAGCATCAACATTGTTATTGGTTGTCAATTTATATTCCAACCAATATGATGATTTCTTGCGATTTTCTTTAGATCCTATAGATTGATCGCAAGCATATTGTTGTATCCCCCAATTGATCTTTCCTTATAAATAAATCGCATTCTTTATGTCCTTCATATGTCATGAGTGTCCCATCTAATTGTTGACATTCATGCATATTCTATTGAATGTATTATTGTTCGATACATTTGAATATGCTCATATGCATGCCCTTCTTGATTCTAGCTGACAGATGCTTGCAAGTACATGATGATCAGATTCTTATTTTACCATAAGCTTCATGTTTTTTTTGCATTTATTATTTGCAAACTCATAAGTCTTTTTTAGACATTAGATGATGCTCATTCACTTTCATTTGTTCAATGTTGAACTTAGACCCCTTGCAATCAAATTTGATTCAAGTCCAAATCTTTTGTAAGGGTTCAAGTCTTCATGTCACTTTGAGCTCAATTCCTTGAGTTTAGTTCAAGTTCATGTTCAATGAAGTCAATGTGCAAGTCTGCAAGTCTTCATCATCTGATTCAAATTCAAGCTCATTTTGTTTAATATTAAAGGGCATGATTTGCTTACTGCTCACTTGTTCAAATCCAAAAACATGTTCAAGTTCAATGTCAAAAGTTCGTGTCCACAAGTCCTCTGTTTGAGTTCAAGTTCAAATGCATGTCACCTGCAGTCTAAGTC